GGGGGCGCTGCCCGAGGGGCCGGTGCTGGAGGCGCTGCTCTGCGCAGAGACCCCCGAGCGCAAGGGGGGAGACGGCAGCAAGGACGAGGAGACGGCGCTCGAGGGAACGGTCAGTGCTGGCCGTGGGGCCGGCCGGCTGGCCATGTGTCCATCTGTCCGTCTGTCCATCTGTCTGGCCAGCTGTGTGTCTGTCCGTCTGTCCATCCATCTGTCCATGTATCCGTTTGTCTGTCCGTGTGTCCGTCTGGCTGTGTGTCCGTGTGTCTGTCCAGCTGTCTGTCTGTCCATGTGTCCGTGGGTCTGGCTGTGTGTCCGTGTGTCTGTCCAGCTGTCTGTCTGTCCATGTGTCCGTGGGTCTGGCTGTGTGTCCGTGTGTCTGTCCAGCTGTCTGTCTGTCCATGTGTCCGTGGGTCTGGCTGTGTGTCTGTGTGTCTGGATGTGTGTCTGTCTGTCCATGCGTGTGTCTGTCCATCTGTCCGTGTGTCTGTGTCCATCCTGCTGTCCATCCTTCTGTCCATCCAGGCACTCATCCTGCAGTCTGTGTGTCCAGCTGTCCAGCCATTGTCCATCTGTCCATTGTCCCTCTGTCCATTGTCCATCTGTCCACCCCTTGTCCATCAATCTGTCCATCCCTCCCCCCAATACCCCAAACACCAATTTCTCCCCCAAATCCCCCCAAAGTGCTCCAAAATCCCCAACCCGCCCCTCTGCCCCCAGAAGCCGCCCCCTCCTGAGTTCCCGCACGACCCCGACGGGGACGAGCTGGACGATGACCCCCCCCGGCGCAAGAACAAGGCCAAGGGCAAGGTGAGTGTCTGGTGGCCGCACGGCCGGACAGCTGGACAGCCGGACAGCCCCATCGTCAGACAGCTGGACACACGGCCGCACGGCTGGACAGCCGGATGGCCGAGTGGCCGCAGAGCTGACCGCAGTGTGGCCACGCTGCCCGCAGGCGTATGGGATGGTGATGAAGAGGAGGGTGGACGCTGTCTTGGAGGAGCGGGACAAGCCCTACGTGTGTGACAGTGAGTGGGGCGGGGCTCAGGGGGTAAATCTGGGGACTCAGGGGGTAAATCTGGGGACTCAGGGGGTAAATCTGGAGGGAGGGAGAGCACACTCTGGGGTACATAAACATGTGACAGATGGTCCTGGAATATCTCTACTATATTTTATTT